CCCCTCCCCCTTTTAAAAAAAAAAAAAAAAAAAAAATCAATAAAATATATTTTAAAAAATAATATATTTTGCTGAAGATCAGACACAGTTTTCATCTTTGAGGCCCAAATGAGAAAATACAAACCTTCATTTAGTTTCCCCCTTCTTGGGAAACTATGACACCTACCAATAAAGGACATATTAGAATGTCCTTTAATTTTTAAATTGCCAGCAACAGTTAACTTTGTTTTTAATTATTCCAATTATATCAATTTTTCAATCACTTTAAACATCATATTAATAAAATGACTACCAAAAAAAGTAAAATAAAATGACTATCAAACTAGATTTTTAAAAGGCCCAACTATATATTATCTACCCAAAACACCCATTTAAATTTGTAAAGAAAGATAAATTAGCACTAATCAAAACAAGGCCGGAGTAGCTACATTAATTTCAGACAATGTAAACCATCAGAGCAAGGAAAATTAGGGATAAAAAGGTACATAATACAGGGATCAATTCTCCAAGAACACGTAACAATCCTTCATGTGTATGCACTTTGCACAGAATGGCAAAATATGTGAGGCAAAAAGAATTGCAAGGAGAAATCGATGAATTCACTGTTATAGAAACATCACCACTTTCTGTCAGTAATTCACAGATCCATCAGGCATTAACTCAATAAGGACATAATTGAACTCAATACCATCAATCAACTGGATCTGACATCCCTAGAATAGTTCATTGAACATAGCAGAATATACATTCTCTAGCTCACATGAAACATTGGCCAAAACAGACCATATTCTGGGTCATAAACACCTTAACAAATTAAAAGAATAGAAATAATATAAAGTATGCTCTTAGATCACAGTGAAATAAAATTACTAACAGAAAGGTAGCTGAAGAATACCAAAATGCTTGAGATTAAACACACTTCTAAATAACATTTGAGTCAAAGAAGTTTCAAGAGAAATTGAGAAATATTTTGAACTAAATGAACATGAAAATACAATTGCCAAAACATGGAATGCAGCAAGAGCAGTGCTTAGAGGGAAATTTATAGTACTGAATGCATATAATTAAAATACGATCTCAAATCAACAATCTAAGCCCCTAGGAAACTATAAAAAGGAGCAAATTAAATCCAAAATAAACAAAAAGCAAAAATAAATGTGGTTGAATACAGGAAATCAATAAAGAAAACCAAAAGCCAATTCTTTGAAAAGACCAATAAAATTGATAAAACTCTAGTACGGCTAATTAAGAAAAAACTAGAGAAGAAATTATCAATGTCATAAATGAATGAAGGACCATCACTACTGATTCTATAGACATTAAAAGGATAATAAAGGAATAGTACTACAAACAACTCTATGTCCATACGTATGATAACCTAGAAGAAATGGATCAATTATTTGAAAGACAAAATCTACAAAAGTAGAAACCCCACAGAAGTAGATCATTTGAATAGACCTATATCTAAAGAAATGGAATCAATAATTAATAATCTATGAAAACAGCACCAGGCCAGATGGGTTCACTGATGAATTCTATCAAACATTTAAGACATTCTACCAACTCTACAGTGTTTTCCAGAAAATAGCAGAAAAAGGAATTTTCTAATTCTATGAGGCCAGCATTACCCTAATTCAAAAACCAAAGACAGCCCTGACCAGTTTGGCTCAGTGGATAGAGCGTTGGCCTGCAGACTGAAGGGTCCCGGGTTCGATTCTGGTCAAGGGCATGTACCTTGGTTGTGGGCACATCCCCAGTGGTGGTGTGCAAGGGGCAGCTGATCGATGTTTCTCTCTCATCGATGTTTCTAACTCTCTATCCCTCTCCCTTCCTCTCTGTAAAAACTCAATAAAATATATTAAAAAAAAAAAAAACCAAAGACATTACAAGAAAGGAAAACTAGACCAATATCTCGAGTGAACATAGATGCAAAGATCTTCAATAAAATATTAGTAAATGGAATCAAACACTGTATAAAAGAATTATATACCACCACCAAGTAGAACTTATTTCAGTTAAGCAAAGCTGGTTTAACCTTACAAAAGCAATTAACCCTTTGCGGTCATTTGTCTACTCTCAGCCACCAAAGCTTTTTTACCGTTCCAGACGTATGTCTGCTCTCAACCACCACAGCAAGGAACTGTACGAATCTTAATTCTATTCATTCATGTATCAGTTCATAATTTCTCTGAAAGCTCTTAAGTGTCTAAGCGACCTTGTCACGAACCAAAACATTGCCCCAACAAATTGGAGATATCAAAACTCAATATAAACAAACGAGGTTGTTCCACACTCGCGTGGCGAGTCAGTCGCCTTTTGAGAGTGAAATCGACAAGCTTCGGAGATACTTCGCAGAATTTCAAATAAAGCTTTACAAATTACGTTTAACTGTAATTAGGCATTCTCGCTTGTTAAGATATTTCAGAATAACACTCCAAAATGGCAAAAAGAAAGTTACCGAAAGAAGTGTACTGCGAATCTGAAAGTAACGATGAAGAGTTTTATTTTGGCACCTTGAATACTGACTCTGACGTAGAAAGTGATAACGTTTGTAGTGATTCTACTAGTAGTGACGTAGTTCCAAAAAAGAATTAATAAATCTTGTTTATCCTTCATAATCTTGCATGTTATGTATCACTGCTCTTTCAATGGAAATTAATTCCGACCAGTACGACACCCATGTCCAAATTTAATACGACCGCAAAGGGTTAATGTAATCCACATTAATCAGGTAAAGAAGAAAAATATCAGTAGATACAGAAAAAGCATTTGACAAAAACCCAACAGCCATTCATTACAAAAACTCAACAACTAGGAATAGAGATGAACTTCCTCAACTTGATAAACACCTACCAAAAATGACAGCTAGCATCATACTTAGTGTTGAGAAAGTGGATGCTTTTTTGGTAAGATCAGGAACAGTGAAAGGATGTCCCCTCATAACTCCTATTCAACATCAAACTGGAATTCCTGGCTAATGCAGTCTTACCTAATAATAGATATGTAAATTGACCGCCCCTCCACTATGCTCACCAGCCAATCAGAAGAGTATGCAAATTAACCCAACAAAGATGGTGGTTAATTTGCATATGTAGGCATGAAGTGGTGGAGCAAAGTGTGAAGACTGAAGGCTCTGGCTGGAGCAGCGAATACTGAAGGCCAGGTGCCGGAGGAAAACCGGTGCCGGCAGCCAGGGGAAGGGAAGGTCTTGCATGAATCTCTTGTGCAATGGGGCTCTAGTCTATACTAATAAAAGGGTAATATGCTAATTATACCGGATGTCTTCCAGACAAAGCCACAGTGGTTAGGGGCGATCAGGCCAGCAGGGGAGAATGGTTAGGGGTGAACAGATTGGTGGGGCAGAGCAGTTAGGGGCAATCAGGCAGGCAGGCAGGTGAGTGGTTAGGAGCCAGTGATCCTGGATTGCGAGACGGATGTCCGACTGCCAGTTTAGGCCCGATCCACGGGATTGGGTCTAAACTAGCAGTCAGAGATACCCCGAGGGATCCCAGATTGGAGAGGGTGCAGACTGGGCTGAGGGACACCTCCCCACCCCCATGCCTCTAGTAAATAAAAAAAGGAATAAAAGGTATACATATTGGGAAGGAAAAATTAAAATTGTCATTCACAAATGACATGATTGGCCAAATGAAAAATCCCAAAGAATCAATAAAAATATCTTGGAACTAATCACCAATTATAGCATTAGCACCAGAAAAAAAAAGACAAAAGAAATAATTAGGTATAAATCTAACAAAATATGTACAAAATCTATATGAGTAAAACTACAAACCTCAGATGAAAGAAATCAAAGGTGTAAATAAATGAAAAGAAAATCCTTGTTCATTTATAAGAAGATGAATATTGTTAAGATATTAATCTTCCCAACTTGATTTTTCGAGTCAATGAATCCTAATCAAAATCTGAGCAAGTTATTTGTGGAGCTCAACAAAAGGATCCTAAAGTTTATCTGGAAAGGCAAAATACTCAGAATAAAACAGTGTTAAAGTAGAAAAAGTCAGAGGACTGACACTACCAGACTTTAAAACTTACTATAAAACTAGAGTAATCGGCTCTAACCGGTTTGGCTCAGTGGATAGAGCGTCAGCCTGCGGACCAAGGGTCCCAGGTTCGATTCCAGTCAAGGGCATGTACCTTGGTTGCGGGCACATCCCCAGTAGGGTGTGCAGGAGGCAGCTGATCGATGGTTCTCTCTCATCGATGTTTCTAACTCTCTATCTCTCTCCCTTCCTCTCTGTAAAAAAATCAATAAAATACATATTTTTTTAAAAAACTAGAGTAATCGAACAGTGGAAAGAGAACAGACCTAGATCAAGGGAACAGAGTCCAGCCAGAAGTAGTTCCATACACAGTCAACTGATCTTGGGCAAAGGAGCAAAGGGAACTCACCGGAGAAAGGATAGTCTTTCAGCAAATGGTGCTGTAACAACTGGGAGCCACATGCAAAATAAGTCTTCTAGGCACAGACCTTACACCTTTCACAAAAATTAAAATGGATCCTAAGCAAAAAAAATTAAAACCTCAACTACAGTTATCAACACTAACAACCCAATTAAAAGTAGGCAAAAGATCTGATCATTATAATAAGGGACTCCTGTCATAAATTTGTCAAAATTCATGGGATGTACAACATGAGTGAATCTTAAACTACAGACTTTGGTTAATAATAATGTATTAATATTGGTTCAAGAACCATCCTCATCTTCCCCAGGCAGAACTTCTCATAACTATTTAAACATATTTCATGATGTTTGACAAAGGATTAAAATTAGGTATATGATAAAATACTGTTGGCAGACTAGTTCTTTTTATATTTATCATAGGAAAACTCAGGCCATCTTTTGCTCATGTTAGGGCAAAGTCTAGTCTTGCTCAATTTGTTTCAACCTGATTTGCTTATCAAAAATATTCTTTATCTCCCTGGCTTATAAGCATTTTTTATCCTCCCAGTTTCTCTTCTCACGAAAGAGACACAATGTACAACATAGTATTTAAATGACAAGCACTTTTAAGTCCAAGTGATTCTCTTTATATAAGTCTTATTTTCATTAAGTTGATTCCTTAAAGAGAGGCTCGCATTAAGAAATTCATACCTTGCCCTAGCTGGTTTGGCTCAGTGGATAGAGCGTCAGCCTGTGGACTGAAGGGTCCCAGGTTCAAGTCCAACCAAGGGCACATGCCGGGTTGCAGGCTCGATCTCCCCCAGTAGGGGGCATGCAGGAGGCAGCCAATCAGTGATTCTCATCATTGATGTTTCTATCTTCCTACCTCTCCCCCTTCCTCTCTGAAATAAAAAAAAATTTCAAGTTACAGTTAAAAAAGAAAAAAGAAATGCATATCTTGCCTTAACTGGTTTGGCTCAGTAGATAGAGCATTGGCCTGCCTAGGTTGTGGGCTTGATGCCCAGGTTGGAGGTGTGCAGGAGGCAACCAATCAATGATTCTCTCTCATCATTGATGTTTCTGTCTCTCTCTCCCTCTCCCTTCCTCTCTGAAATTAATAAAAATCTATGTATATAAAAGGCTAATATGCAAAGTGTCCCCCACAGGAGTTCAACTGGGAGATAGGGAGTTCAATCGCTTGCTATGATGTGCACTGACCACCAGGGGGAGGCACGGAATGAAGGAAAGCCCCAGCCCCAGCTGGCAGCTGGAAGGCCCCAATAGGCCCTGATCGCCGGCCAAGCCTACCTAGGAACCCTCTAGTATATGTATATTAAAAAATGCATATTTTTCTTTATCAAACAAGAGACTTTAGTCTGTTTTCACAGGAGCCTTTTAGCACTTCACACAGTGCCTGGCTCATAGTCAGTGAGCACAGGGAGGCATACCTCAGACATACTGTGGTTAGGTTCCAGACTACCATCATAAAACAAGTCATAGTCTTTTGCTGGTGGAGGGTCATCCTCTCAATTTGTACAAAAACACAACATTTGTGAAGTGCAATAGAATGAGGTATGCCTGTCCTGTACTAGGAACTTGTTATGGAGTATGATGCTGTCACTATTATTACATGAATTTGACATCAGAGTGGCATGACTTAAAGTATCTTTTTGGGTTTAGGAAACAAGTGATTAAAATGCAAATTGAAATTTTAATTCAGTGCTTTCTATGAACTAGACAGAAACCACTGTCATGACTTGATGTTTGAAATTCTTTCATTTAAGCATAAAATATCCGTATTTACTTTTATAACTTTTCTTTCTTAAAATTTTTTTTTGATTTTTTTAGAACTAGATGGGGGAGAAGGAAAGAGAAAGATGTAAAGTCAGTCCCAAATCAATTCCCAAATACAACGCATACTAGAACATGTTTCCTGAGACCCTTCTCCAAATCCTAGCGTAACTTCTCTTTCTGACCTTCTAGATTGGCCTGGGCCAGAATCCTCCAGACCCTCAGATTGCAGTATGCTCCCAGTCCCCAAGAGAAAAGATTATTAAGGTGAGGAAATACATTTACCATGGGTTTTGGAGCCACTAACACAATGATAGTTTATCACAAGGTGAAAAGGGCCTGGTGCTCTGCCTGGCGTGTGGGTTCACTGAGCCCCTCTGCTGGCTGGAGAGCCCGGCCACCGTCCATGGCCTGTGTCCTCCCTGGGCTGGTAAGGAGGGACCGTGACGTAAAGCAGGTTGCTACCACAAACGACGCTAAGTGCCATGGGAGGGGGGGCTGTATCTGACTGTGTGGAAGGCCTGAGGAAGTGGCAGGTCAGCTGAGACCTAGAGGTGACGCATGTGTGCCACAGTCAGGGCTGCCACTTCGGGTGTGACTCTGAAGGGAGGAAGGTGAAAGGACTCAGATGGGGAAGAGCATGGCTCTTGGGGAACAGGAAGTCCATGTGGCTGTGGCAGGGGAGCGAGCATTCGACTGAGGCGATCAGGACCAGGTTAGGACGCCACTGAGACTGTCGAGGCAGAAAAGCGACGGGCTCAAATCTGTAGAATGCAAAGGCCACTGCCACTGTGTGACGCGGCTGGGGGCAGAGGGAGAGAATTGAGGATTCGGGGAAGCCAGTGAGGGTACTACCCCAGTGTGGGGGTGTTTTGAGGTTAGAAGTGACAGGACTGAGAAGGGCAGACTGAAGACAACACTCTGTAGGGAGAGTCAAGTATAGGGTATCTGGGCCTGGGGCTGAGGCAGGCACAGGCAGCCTTGTCCATTCCTCTTTCCACCGAGCCTGACCCATGTGAGGTCACCTGGTTCATGCTGAGACTGTCGCTGTCCAAGCAGCCCTAACTGTGACGGCTCTATCTTACGTGACAGTTTCTCCACTCTACTTTCCTGCGATACCATTGAAAGACAGACCAGCAACGCAGGTGGAGGGGATGGCCATGCAGTAGGAAGAGAATGAGGGTTGGTCAGTCACCTGGGGACACTCAGCGAATTGCTGGGATAGTGTATGGACCCATGTTGGCCTCCGTCACATGCCTTGTCCACAGCCTGAAGGAACATGGTCACCTCCAGAGAACGAAGCTGAGAGGTCAGGGTGACAGGACAGAGGTGGGAGCACCGGATCTGTCCAGGCACAGTCACCCATGACGCAGATGCGAGCAGTCTCGAAGAAGGGGTGGGGACAAAAGCCCAGCCGAAGAGACTGAGAGGAAAATAGGCAGGAAAGTACAGGGGGTCGTAAGTAAGTGCTTCACGTTACGCTGTGGAGGGGAGCAAAGAAGGCCGTGGAGGCTGGAGAGGAGGTGCAGGAAAGAAGGCTCCTCTTCTGTTCAAAGGCGACGCAGGCTGACGCATATCTTCATGCTGATGGGGCGACCAGTAGTGGGACGTTTTGCTGAAGCAGGAAAGGGAATTTGAGCATTTGTGAACAGAAGTTCTTGAGGCCCCGTGAGCACAGGTGGAAGACTGGCTTTTGATCTAGGGAGGGGCAGTGTTTCCATTGGAAAGGCAGGAAGACGGAGTCGGGGAGGCACTTGGTGGTGGCTGTGACCGGGAGAGGGGTGCTCCCGAGTGACTGCTTCTGTTTCCTCGAGGAAGTCTACGGCCAAGGCTTTAACGAGGAGGGATCCTGCGGAGGGCAGTGAAGAGGAGGACGGGGTGCACAGTGAAGAGACTCTAAGTGAGCATGGGGTGGGCGTGCCAAGCAGGGCTAGCTGCCACCTGAGATCCGTGCCAGGGACCATGACAAAGAGCAGCCGACTTAGACAGTTTTATACGTCCCTCTGACAAGCGGCTGGGTGACCTCCATCCTACAGAAGTGAGGAAACAGTCCATGTGTAAAACACTACGTAAATACAGTCTTTTGACTTGTGGTTTGCCAAGCAGAGGAGCACTGCTGTTGGCTGGAAACATCAAGAAATGCTGGAAGATGCTTGGGAATACTTTATGCTTCCAAAAAGGGACTTTGACAGAAAGGAAG